GAATCTTTCTTAAAAACCAGTATGCTTAAAGTGAGTTTATGGTGGTGCCATAATCAAGAAGGATTGCTAACTGAATCCATATTCATAATTAAAGCTATGTGAGTGGTGTTGATTTGAGAAACCCATGTAAAACAAAAACTAAACTTGAATGAAAGAAGCTGAGCTGCCTAACTTGTGAGGAAATAAGGGCATGAAATGTGTGTAGTGATGCCATGGTTACCCAGGGCTTTATTTCCTGTTCTGGTTGTGGGATTTGTGATATTTTTCCACTGAAGACAGAAGAGATTTTAGGGGAAAAAGAGGGGTGAGGTAGGAACAAGGAGCCTTGTTTGGAAATGTTTATGTTTCAGTTTGTATTAAAGTAGTGTCACCTAGAGGCTCTGACCAAGAATACAGCCAAGGGGTGCTGGGCACCCTAAGCACACGTGTGCTCAGAGGCAGAGCAAAGTGCAGGCACAACGAGGTGCTAGAAAGCAAAGAAAGATCTGGAGCCCTGGTTTTGGGCTGTCTTTGGAGTGTTCAAATTTTTGGCCATGTGTAACTCCAAAGGAGGGTTTGGACTGGGTGGATATCTGACACTTCATGCCTTGTCAGATGCTTTCCTCTCTAGGTGTCCATGGGTGACAAAAGAAAATAGGGGAGAAACGAGAGTCAGTGTTACGCTGGCAATTACCTGCTCATCTTGGCATCAGCTGAAGAAGTTATGATAGTAGGTTTAAAGGACTGTGTGGACTCTGTGTGTGTCAGCTACCAGTCAGGTGAGATGACTGTGCTTCAGAAGCATTAAAAACCCTGCAAAGTAAAAAAAAAACAAAACAACTGGCTTGGAGGTGAGCAGCAGAAGCTGGTTTCTGAAAGCCCAATTGTGGGAAACTCGATGCCAGTGCTTAGAATGAAAAGGAATTTTGAGAAAGCTGACATGGTTCATTTCTGCAGTAGTTGATAGATTTTCAGTGTTGAAACTGGAGATAGGTGCTTTATAAAGGTAGTGTTTTAGACACCTGATCTTCTCAACAAGCAATATGGAAAATCACCAGGAACATATAATTCCAGTTTTTACCCTCCTCCGCATGTGAAGTACCAAAGCTCCAGGGATGTATACTTCACTAAATTAACTGAATGTCTCCTTCCTCAATCAATGAAGACATGTAAACAGAGTATCAAATACACATACAATTGCTTTAATGACAACATAAACATACTTCAAATACAGCATTTTCAAATAATGCCACAAATCGTGTATAAATTGCAGTAATTCACTAGTAATACTTTACCCACTTTTAATTAAGGAACTTTTATTAAAATTAACTAACAATCTATGTTTGACACAATCTGTAGCTATTCCAGAGTCTGTCTTTCTGCCTGGTTCTGTTTTCCTAGTACTGGGATTAAGAAAAGCTGTTTAGACCTAAGTACCGATGTACCTCTCTGACACGAGTGTTGTATTATGGTGGCTTCAGTACATTTTCCAGCAGCTAAGATTGCTTCCTCCTTATTCCTTGATTGAAGTTTCACTACATCATAGTTTGAGAAGTAATTTCCCTTCATCTCTTCCTCTTTGCTCTATGGCTTTCTCTGTTGTTTGGCCTTTAATGCTGACCAGTAGTATGTATAGGTTCATTAACACTATTATAAATTTAGTCAATACTCTTTTAGTGGACTCCAGCTGAGCCCAAACTGACTCATGGCCCTCCGGGGTGTAGTGAGAGACTTAATTACCCTTGTACCATTCAAGAGGAACAATGTCATGGGCAGCATTTCGCTGTGGCTGGAGAGGTTGAAGCTCTTTTGGCAGCCATTTTCAAGTTTAAAGAAAGGGATATCAGGATAATTCACAGCTCTCTATAATAACAGTGGAAAGCCACTGCTCTTCTGCAAATGAGAATTGGATTGGTCACGTTTCATTACAGTACTTACACGGATTTTCCTTTGATGGCAGCATTATTCCTTTGGGTTCTCTGAGGACTGAAATGCAAGTTGAAAGAGTGGAGGGACAAGTAATTCTTTAGTAGAGGGGCACATGTTTCGGCATATGCTACCACTTGAAACCAAAGAAGCCTTCATGCGATAAGTTAGGATGGGTACTGGATCCAGGATGGTAGAAGTCATACTCAAACATGCGTGTGATTGGTGACAAGCCATAGTATCGTGCTGGGGAATGGAAACCACAGGGATGTCATGTATTCTCATTGGAGTAGCTAAAGTGAGGTTTGAGGCAAGTAAGGTCTAGTGCAGTAAGTGTATGTTAGGGTGTATAAATTGATGTTCTGCAAGGCACAACTATTACTACTTCAGTGTTGCCATAATTTCTGATATTAATGTTGTCTGTGATTTAAAGCTAAGTCCTTTGTTGTATAATGTGATTGTCACGTGATTCAATGTACATAATTCATATTTCTCAACAAATCTGCACTGGTCTTTTTTTGTGGCTTTCATGTGATATGCTGGGTTCAGTGCTGAAGCCTTTCATCATATGTCAACAATATGGTTTCTTGAGGTGCACCCATTTTAAGTGTAATACAGTAAAATTTGAGTTACTTAATCTTCTTTGTAATTTGGTGAAGTGATTGTGCAGTCTTCAAGAACCCAATGCAGCCTTCCACTAAGTGTGCTCTGACTCTACCACTGAAAAGTCGGGATGAATGCCTGTATGGAGTCTCTTGTCTGTACTGTAAAGGAGAGGAATGGACAAGAGGAGCATGCTTTGGAGACAGAGCAAGTGAAGAAAGTTTTAACTTAGCAGCAGTGGGCTAAGACATTGCTATCTCAAAGTTTCAGTATGCGTACAAACCATATGGCATATTTGCATTAGAAGAGCCTTTGGTAGCCCTGTGGTTTGATTCCTGCCTGTCATTACCCTTCTTATTTACTCATACCCTTGCAAACTCTTTGTCACAGCACATCAGTGGGGAATAGAAAGGAATGGCTTCAGCCAGTCTTTTCACTTCTTAAGTCACAGAGGGAGCATCTTTGTAGTCATTGAACTATACAAACACTCATATGTGCCATAAATATCCAAACAAATCACAGTGCAGACATCATCAGAAACAGTCAGAGGAGGAAGTAAATAGAAGTCATTGTTCAGAGGAAAAAAGAGGAAGGCTTCATAGCAGTCACAAATTGTAGGTTAGTCATAATTTGTTGTCTGCAGGCTTGTGGAGGGGACTTGCTGAAGCATTGCATCACTTGAAAGTATTAGTCACTGAAGCCATTGTCTGAGCCTCTGAATGAGAGGGGTAAGATTTTCAGCCTTCTAAGATAAAATATTTTAAAGAAAAATCAGCTAGGAGGACTCACTGTTTTCAAGGTGTTAAATATGCCTCTAATCACACATAATTTTTGAATGGATGCTGTCAATGTAAACATTACATGTCAGACATCTTATAGAGAATTACTTGTTTGCATTAATTTCCCCTAATTGTTGTTAAGGGAAATTATTCTTTTCCCTAATTTAATTCTTTTGTGTGTGTATGTGATTTTATTGTTTAATTCAATTTGGGAATTTTGAAACAAGTAGGTCAGTTCAAATTCACAGTTCTGTTCTAATACAGTGCCGTTGTGCTGGCACAGCATTATGGAATGTTTGAAATTTCCTAGTTGTTTGTAAACTGTATTCACTGTTTAAATTTACCTTTCACAGTTGCAGTTGCTGTTACTAGATTATATGTTAATTGGATCATAGGCAGTTTTTATCACATGCACTTCTTTGTGCAATGTAATTCCCATACTTAAGTTATTTACACTAGGTGTTATGAAGAGGCTAGAGAATGAACACATAGGTAGTCCTTGATTTTGGCTCACAGCACAAAAGGAAGGAGAACTGGTCCAAGCCTGGACTGCTCTCTGGGGATATGGGAGACTCGGCTTCCTGGTCTGCCGCAAAGCCCTTTATAGGACTTTGGCATGTTGGTTGTCTCTCCATGGCTTGTTTGAGTTAATTGTGTGATGTTGAAGCATGTGGATAAAGTGTCTGTATGGGTTCTTTAGGCAAGGTAGCCCTGTACAGAATTCCAGTGACAGCTGGTAGTCCAGGCAAAAATACGGTTCTTGATATAAGAGCGTTGAACGGCACTAGGAAACGGAAGAGCAGCGTGTTTGTTAAATAGTGTATCTATCTAGATGAGGAAAGATCATGTGTGTGTACATGTATGCAAATAGAAATCTAATTTTCAAGTTAATAGTATGACAATGAGCAAATTTTAAGTAGAATAGATTTCAGTTACGGGATTAATAGTTACTTCCACTGGATTTAACATATTTCATTAATTATGCTAGATAGACACCTATCTTATATTCATTTTGAAACCACCAATGCTTTTGTAGGAAAAGAACTGTAAGAATTGTTTCCTTGTATCTGTGGACAAAGCTAATGGAAAAACCCAATCCTCTCATCCCCATATTTATCTGAAAGATGTGTTGTATATCTGCAGTTGATTTTCTAGAATGCTGATTAGCTAATACTGTTTTTGGCATGCAGCTTATCCATCGTGTGGGAGAACACTACCTGAATTTCAATTTAGTTTTCAAAATAATGTTGAATTGCTTTTCCTTTAAAGGCTTTTCTGGCCATTTGAGGACCCAGTGCAGACAATGGAGCTGCAGTCTGGTCTCAAAATCTGATTGAATTGATAGGAGGCAGCTGAAACAGGGATTGTTGAAGAGTTTGAGATAGATTGCAAACAGTAAGTGCTTCTGAACAACTGGCTTAGTGTCCTTGTTTGAAATTCTGCCCCAAGTTTATTTTTACTTTCATTGGTAACAGGCCTTTAAGGCTAAAATCCTGGGCCTCGAGATAGTTCTGGAATTCATTAGGCTTGTGTGGTTTTGATACAATCATGTTGCTATTAAAGAAACGTTATGCCTCTGAGAGTACTAGGCTAATAATGAAAGGAGGAGTGGAGAGTTAATGTGTTGTTAGATGTTAATACATTTGTCCCCACCAGCAACTTGCCACTATTTAAACTTCCAAAATCTCACCCTCTTTAACATTTTTTTTGCAGTGATGGGTCTTTCCCTTATGATTCTGTTCCCTGGCAGCAAAATACCAATCAGCCTCCAGGCTCTTTATCAGTGGTCACCACAGTATGGGGTGTGACTAACACCTCTCAAAGCCAGGTAAGCTTTGTTTTTATGCTAGGTACAAGTTTTGACTAATGTTTACAAAATGAAAAGCTTTTTGGAAAAATCCCCTTGGGATCGATAACAGTGTCTGTATTCTCTTTGTTGTTCGTTGTGCATTTTTTTTCCAGTCATGTCCTCTTCAGTGGCATATGAAAGAAGGTGTCTGAGAGCTTGAGTCACTAACTCCTCTAGCTGCATGCAAATGTCAGGCTTGGGTATTTTGCACTCTAAAGTTTCAACACTCAAAGCGTGGTTATGGGGTAATCCCAAACCACTTGGAAATTTCAGGTAGAATTTTAAGAGTTGTTTTATTACAAACAAAAATTCTAAATAGATTTAACAAATGATAGATGTGGTTCATTTTACCCAGGATTGTGTCATACCAATGGGCTTCTGAAATCTAGTACCACCCCCACGTTCAGGTGCTATCAGCTATAGGCTGTGGTCTTTTCAATCTCTCCTGTTAATACTGTCTTACTTTGAAAAAATATTTCAATATGCATTGCAGCAAAAGCGTGAGCTCCTGGCTTCCAGGTGAGAGCCATAATTCTGGATTTTCATCTGGTTGTCTCTCCTCTTAACTCTATTTATCTTCTGCAAAGTATATTAAATTATGCTATGCAAAAAGAAGCAGCTTTAATGAAGGAGACACCAATTATTTGTGATAGTGTGCTCTCCAGGGGATGTGGCACAAATCAAGCTCTCAGATAGTCTACCCTTTTCTTACACCACAGATGAAGAGCTCTAAACATATTACCATATTACCATGAGTGCAAAGTCATAAGTCTACCGTTTTCTACTGTTTTCAAATCAAATCACATTAGATCCCATACAAAATTTTCTGTTGATTTTTTAAAAAATTATTTTAGTTTTGGTCAGAAAATTATAAACAAGATTGTTATGGATTGAGCCATTTGAAAAAGAAATTATTCAGGAGTCAAGTTCTATAAGTACTCACATGGCAGTTACATAAGCCCTGGTTGTGGAAAAATCTTCAGCAAATAAAGAGATGAGGCAGTTATAGAATCTATAACATTATTTATTATTGTTGATTTATTTGTAACACATTAAAGGAAGAAGTATCCCATCTGGGAGAGAAACACCTGAGTAAACATTTAGGTCTGAAAACATTTAGGTCAGAGAGTAGAAATACAGTTTCTTGTGGAAATCTTTCACACTTAAAAAGACAAAAGTAGAAAACACACCACCAAAACAAACAAAAAAACCAACTCTCAGTGTTTTGTTCTTTCATTAGAACGCTGTCATGTTACTAACGCTTCATAATACTTCAGAGGAATGTGCAATAAAGGAAAAAAAAAAAAAAAGTGCTTTGGTTGTAGCTGTTCAGAGCAGATTGAAAAAACTGACAACGTTTCCCCTAAGTCTTCATGTACCCTGAGGGGAAGGAATGAGCTGGGCTCACCAATTCCCTTCCACAAATTCCCAAGGCTGATGATTTGGTCTTCTGCAGAAATGACCACTAAATTTCTTTCCAAATAAGAAATAGATTTCCATGCAGGTGATCCATGAACAGCCATACTTACATCTCCTTTTAAAAACCAGATAGATGTCTGTCTGGTAAGAAGCAATAAAAAAACCTGATGGACTTCTGTACACTTTAAAGAGAGTGAGATTCAAGAACAGGTGATGCCACTGAAATACATTCTTTCACAGTTTTTGGGTTTGTAGTACCCTCTGCAGTGTGCCTGCAGGACTGGGGGTTTGCAACTGCTTTCAAAGTCCTACATTTTAAAAACTATGTACTTTCTCTTAATCAGATGAATTTTTCACCTGCAGAGCATGTTCCTAGCAGGTTTTTATCTTAACTTTTTTCACAAGCATGTTAGTTTGGGTTCCATCTAGTTAAAAATCTGCTGTGAAAGATAATTAAAGATCAGAAACTCTTGATTGGAAACGGCAAAAGGAGAAATCACTGGGAATGTGCAGTCAGACATGAACAAGGTATATGCTCATTACACTTCAGAGTACAGGGTGGTTATATTTTAATTTATCGATTGCAACAAATCAACTTAATTTGCTCAATGTAGTTCAAGGTACAGCTCCTTATTTTCATGTATCTATTCACAGGTGCTGGGAAATCCAATGGCAAATGCTAACAACCCTATGAATCCAGCAGGAAATCCCATGGCTTCTGGGATGACTACCAGCAACCCTGGAATCAATTCTCCTCAGTTTGCTGGACAGCAGCAACAATTTTCAGCTAAGGCAGGCTCCACTCAGCCATACATACAGCAGGGCATGTATGGGCGACCCAATTATCCTGGAAGTGGAGGCTTTGGTGGCAGGTAAGATTTACCCCTGTGGGGTGGTAAATGGATGTAAATAGTTGATGAAGCTTGTTTTAGTGACCTGGCAGAAATGTCATGGCCTTACTATAATTACATAAAGTTTGAGCAGCTATTTTATGCTGGTCAACTGAAGTACATACTGCCTTTACAGCTTTGGAAATCAGCTACCCAAACTGCTATGAAATTCATCCCAGTAAATGGAAATGGCTTAGGTCAATCAATTAGATCTAATAAACTTCCAAAATAAAGTTTTAATTAAGAGAGATTGTTAAACAGACCACAGGCTTAAGAATGATTAACATCTAATAAGGCCAGGATGTGAAAGGTATTAATGCTGTAATTTCTATGTGTGTATGGAGGAAAAAGCTT